GGGAATAGTTAGGACGAACGTACACACACGAGGTCGCCAGTTTTGCCTAAACACATATGCGCTAAACACTGGTCGGACGTGAGCGCCCACCGAATCCGTTCAGTCACTTCAGTCATCCAGAATGGTCAATTGATAACGTCGAAAGTCTTTCAACTAATTCTTGCAGTTACTAGTCGTCTTCTAAGCACGCATACATACTTCTTTTGCAACGGAAAACTTAGATACTGCTTTATATGAATTATGTAATAACACTTCGGCAGGCTGCATGGATATAAGTATGGAGAGGTAGATTTAATCTTCTCAATTTTAAGATTGCTGACTATACTAGAACATACTGTCTGAAACGCATGGGAAATTATATCCATCGCACTTTTACATTTCTATAACTACAAGCCTAACTTGGTCTTCAATTCACTGTAGAGCCACAACGGCAGCCTGGGCAAATAAATTCGCCCGTTAAGACGATTGTGGATGTCTTACGGTCTAGGCTACTTGCTTTACATTTTGTACAACAATTTCAACACAGCGAATATTTATTACCGCTGTTACAGCTTTAATTAAATCCCTCACAGGCGTCATTTTCTGAAAAACATAACGACCCTAGAAGTAGTTGAGAGGATAACGCTTCGATACCGCAGGAGACAGGTAATTCGCTTTAAGACGCTAAGTTAACGTGTAATTGTTAATTTCATCTGTTTAGCGCACAGCAGGCATACCAGTCAGTTATTCTCATGAAGGTTAGCTGTTTCAATGATATCGTAGAGGCACGCTTATTCGCGAAAAACTGGGGAAACTGACGTTGGCATATGCCATGAGAAGCTAGTTGTTTAGGGAGATGTGGAGGCGATAGCAGAAATAATGGCTTAATGAGCTAAATAGACAAACAAAAAAGACTTACTTGACAGCTGTGGTTTATAAAGCGTGCATTATTTCCAAACATTGTGGCGTCAATCACGTATTCATCGTCGATGCGGAAGAGGTAAGAACTTCCGATGCCCTTTTCTTCGTAACGCTTTTCCCGAAGTTCAGCGACGCCCTTGCGAACGACATGACCCACGTACTCAATAACCATTTCTTCTGCAGCAATAGGCTCGAGGGCAATGAGGCCCCAGTGGTGGATCGGCGACTTCGCAAAAATCAACTGCTTCTTCCGAAACTACAATGATAGAAGAAATAAGCATGAGTATAAAATTCCATAAAAACACTTGTATATTTTGCATCAAGGCATAACAAACGCAAATAACAGTTTATATCGTTCAATCTAACGACAGGAAAACTGGCTGCATAAATAGTTAAATTGGAAG